TCAGGCTTTCCTACTACTCATGCATTGGCTCCTATGGCAGTTTCTGCTTGTGTGTCTCTACTCTGGTAAGTTGTGACTCTTCATATGTGCCTGTCTCTCCAGCTTATGGATTTTAAACTTCGAATCCTTGAATGTTGGAAAATGTCTTTAGCTTTATTCTTTCACATTGTTAAACAATGGTCATTGACTCCATTGCAACGCCAAAAGGAATCCCCAATTTGGAATGTGGTGAAGAAGTACACTATTCAGTGCAAAACAGTTCAATTTTTATACAGCATGGCTGTGACAGCAGCCTGACTGGAACAGCTCAGTTGTGATACAGCATGGCTGTGAAGCAGCCCTAGGACTAGCCATCCCTGGGGCCAGGCCTTTCTCTGGCTAGATAGCTCAACTCTGCTCCTCACTGATCTGCTCTGCTTCCTGCCTGTCTGCTTTGGCTTGCTTTGGTGTGCTCTGCTCTGTTCTGGTGAGACATCTTCGGTGTTTCAGCTCAGCTGGGGAACTGCAGTCTTTGGTGGAAAGAAAGGGAAAGTATGCTCTCAGAGCCAGAGGGGAGCTGGCTTATATGGACAGAAGTCCCTGTCCCTGGTCCCTGATTGGTTGGTATGTTCTCTTTCACAACAGGTTTCCAAATATTCAAAGTTTGATTGGTCCAAAAGACATTGTCCTGATTGGTCAGAATAGAGCTACTCTGGATGGTTGCAGCTGTGCAGGTTTGATTGGATGGGGAAAGCCTTAGTCCTTTTGGTTAAATAGGATTCCCGGAACTCCTTTGTAAGGGTTGGCTTAGGTGGCAGAAACACACTGCAGGCAGGCAGTTCAGTACAGAGGCAGGGAGTTTAGTGCAGGATTCTCCCTGAAGTGCAGTTTGTGTGAGTCGTCCCTGTGTAGAAATCGCTGCTGAGCTCTGGGCTCTGTTTTTGTCTTTGTTGTTGTTTTTAAGTTTGAGCCCAGTTAACCACCAGGAGCCCTTCTTAGTAGATGTCTTCTTTCCGAGGGTCCACAATACAAATTCTAATTTTGGGGGTATATGCTTCTGTGTTTCAAATACAGTAAAGACTCGATATAACAGACTAATTCAGGCAAGTGGGTGTCTGTTATATAATTAAGTAGGTTTTCCAAAAGCATATGTTAAAAAATTGACAAATTAGTTTACCTATTTTTGCTTATGTAGACATGTTTGTGTAATTAAAATTATGTATGTATGAAAATTTTAATTTCATACAAAAGCTTTCTATATGTGTTACAGTAATTTTAAATTTATACTGAATAGGTATAGTAAATACGGGCATTCACCAGTCACCACAAGTAAACAAATGCACAGGACTGGGGCACATGGCTGGGGTATGGCTTAACACATATGAGGACATCAGCCAGCTGGCATGCATTAAAACTGCTGCAGAACGTCACGCCATGGGACAACAGAACCAATTACCATGGGAAATGTGGTGTAATCATTCACCGAACATTGTTTACCAGCGGTGACACTTTAAGTATGTAAGCTATAATTGTAGATATCTGATATTTATTTATGTCATTGAAATTACTAGTGTTTTTCCCAACATATGGCCTATTTGCTAAAATTTGTTAAAAATAACAAGAAAACCTGTTAAGTTACTTATAAGCAAAGCTTGGTTAATTGGGTGTTAATTTTCACATATGACATACAGACCGGAAATTTTGTCCATTAAATACAAAGTCTGTTAAATCAAAGTCTGTAAAATTGAGGGTTTACTGTAATTTTCTTTCAAACTTTGAAGCTACATCTTCATTGTTTTGTAATATCAAATGCTGCTTATATCGGTGTGATACCTGTTCTTCTGTAGGAATATACTTTTTCCCTCTTAGGTTACAAGTTGAGATGCAAAGATCTGTAGTCTTAAGTTTTTGTTTTTGTGTTAAGAATAAGAGTAATCTGAGAAAACCAAGATGGCGGCATAGGTAAACACCAGAAATTGCTGCCTCGCACAACAACTTCAAAAATACAACTAAAAGACAAAACGGACATCATCCAGAACCACAGGAAGGCTGGCTGAGTGGAAATTCTACAACTAGAAGGAAAGAGAAAAGCACACTGAGACTCAGAGGAGGTGCAGAAGTAAAGTGCAGAGGTATGGAGGCGCACACCGAAAGGGCTGGCAACTGAGGTCGCGGTTGTCTTTTTCAATCGGGAGGGAGTCTCAAGCTCCCGACTGCTCTGAACTCCAGTTCTGGGCAAGTCTCTGGGGACCCAGACTCATATGGGGAGAAACTGGACTGTCTGGCATCGGTCGGAACTCCAGGGCGGCTTTCTCTCAGAGGTGCTTGCAGCGATTACCGGGACACTGACACTGACGCTGACCCTCTTAGGGTAGGACTGAGGAGCAGCCATAGCTGCTTGCTCCACCTTGTTAATCCCCTGAGACCCCGCCCCACCCAAGCTGTGCGCAGAGGCTTTTGCATATGAAAGGCCTGGCCCTTTGCAATCTGAAAATTACCTAACAAACTGCAGCTGGGTCAGAGAGACCCAGAACTTCCAAAAGAAGGCCCAAGGCCCCACAGCAGCTTGCATTGCTTCACAGCTGGGCCTCACCTGGGCACCTCCAAACCCCAAAGAAGAGGAATCTGCAGATCTCTCCGTAGCTCCTTCTGGGTAGCCTCAGGCAGAGGCTAAATTAGCACCTCCTTAGAGATCCAAGAGCCAGTGTACCCAGTGGTCAAAGTGGGACCATCCAGATTACAACTCCTCAGACCCATAAGGGACACAGTCAGGGGGCAGACTCAGTGAGCCCCACTGAAGCAAGTTTTGCCCCAGAAGGGTGTCTCCAGCACAGAAGTTCTCCCACTGCAGACACAGCTGATTCTCACAGCCAGTTGGCCTGGAGGTCAATTCCTCCCAGTGATACCTACAACAATCAAGGCTTAACTACAAAAAGACTCACAAAGAGGTGCACCAAGAGTGTCCACCTCAGGTAATTGGGGAGGCTGAGCCACTGTGCCCTATAGGACACCTAGCACAGAAAGCCACTCTGTCAACACAAGGAAGCATAAAAAATGCAGAGACAAAGAAACAGGTCACAAATGACAGAAATGGAGGAAATCAAACTACTAGATATAGAGTTCAAAACCATACTTCTAAGGTTTTTCAAGAATTTTCTAGAAACCGCCGATAAATTTAGTGAGACCCTCAATAAATCTAGTGAGACCCTCGAGGATATGAAAAAGGACCAACTAGGAATTAAGCATACACTGACTGAAATAAAGGATAATATACAGATATCCAACAGCAGACTAGAGGATCGCAAGAATCAAGTCAAAGATTTGAAATACAAAGAAGCAAAAAAAACCCTCAACCGAAAAGCAAAAAGAAAAAAAGAATCCAAAAATATGAAGATAGTGTAAGGAGCCCCTGGGACAACTTCAAGCGTACCAGAATAAGAGAAAGAGCAAGATATTGAAAACCTATTTGATGAAATAATGACAGAAAACTTCCCCTACCTGGTGAAAGAAATAAACTTACAAGTCCAGGAAGCGCATAGACCCCCAAACAAAAGGAATCCAAAGAGGACCACACCAAGATACATCATAATTAAAATGCCAAGAGCAAAAGACAAAGAGAGAATCTTAAAAGCAGCAAGAGAAAAAAAGTCAGTTACCTACAAGGGAGTACCCATATGACTGTCAGCTGATTTCTCAACAGAAACTATGCAGGCCAGAAGGGAGTGGCAAGAAATATTCAAAGTGATGAATACCAAGAACCTACAACCAAGATTACTTTACCCAGCAAAGCTATCATTCAGAATTGAAGGTCAGATAAAGAGCTTCACAGATAAGACAAAGCTAAAGGAGTTCATCACCACCAAACCAATATTATATGAAATGCTGAAAGGTATCCTTTAAGAAGAGGAAGAAGAAGAAAAAGGTAAAGATACAAATTATGAACAACAAATACACATCTATCAACAAGTGAATCTAAAAATCAAGTGAATAAATAATCTGATGAACAGAATAAACTGGTGAATATAATAGAATCAGGGGCATAGAAAGGGAGTGGACTGACTATTCTTGGCGGGGGGGAAGCGGTGGGGGTGCGGGAAGAGACTGGACAAAAATACACCTATGGATGAGGACAGTGGGGGGGGCAGGTAAGGGCAGAGGGTGGGGTGGGAACTGGGTGGAGGGGAGCTATGGGGGGAAAAAAGGAACAACTGTAATAATTTGAACAATAAAGATTTAATTAAAAAAAAAGAATAAGAGTAATCCTATTATAATTAGTTTGAATTTGAGGATAGTTAAAATGAAGGGCATTGTATTTAAAAAAACACACAACTTCATGTTTCCTTTTAGTCTTACAGGCTTAATAAAGGGAGGAGCCCATCAGAGTTAAATAATCTTCCCTCCACCCTAACTGGTTTGGCTCAGTGGATAGAGCGTCGGACTGCGTACTCAAGGGTCCCAGGTTCGATTCCGCTCAAGGGCATGTACCTTGGCTGTGGGCACATCCCCAGTGGGGGGGCGTGCAGGAGGCGGCTGATCTATGTTTCTCACTCGTCGATGTTTCTAACTCTCTATCCTTCTCCCTTCCTCTCTGTAAAAAATCAATAAAAATATATTTAAAAAAAATAATCTCCCCTCCTGTTGCCACTTTGCAGTGTTTTTAATACTTGCATCAATGAATACTATTCAACTTCCTGAAGCAAATTCTCCTTCCCTCTTTTGACTACTAAATTTATATGTTTTGAATTGGAATATTATTCCCTGAACAATATTTCTGTTTTCTCAGTGGAACAGTTAAAAATAAACCTTTTTCTAGGTAGGTTGTAATTTTAGTTTAGATAATGAACTATATGTATGGTATCTTCTTTTATACTTACAAATTCTTATCTGCTTGTTTTAAAATTTATAACTGCTTTTTACCTAAGTGGTAATTGAAAAATACATAGTAAATTTGTGTTTTAAATAAACTACTCTGAATCTTGAACTGTTTTATTCAGTGATTGTTTTTTTTTCCCCCAATTTAGACCTTGTGTGGACAGTAATGACCTCACGTTTCCGTTTGCCTGCTGGCAGAACCTACAATGTACGAGCATCAGAGTTGGCCCGAGACAGACAGCATACAGAGGTGGATTGCAACATTCTTCTTCTGGATAACACTGTACAAGTTTTCAAAGTTAGTGTAAGTATTTTATATCGCTCTCTTTTAAAAATAATATCTGGTTATAATTAAAATTGGTTAATTATAGTAAAGGTTGAAACTCTTATTCAATGAAGAACAGTCATTGTAGTGCAGGTTTGTAACTATCAAGTACAAGTTCTGATTCAAACTAGGTCTTTAAAAAAGTTGACAAATCAGCAGTGCATTATGATTAATTAGTGGAGCAGATCAATAGTATGTAGGTAGTTTTTATAAATGTGCCTGAAAGGAATTTATTCTCCTAAATAACTTATACATTTTCATTTTAATCTTGTACTGTCTGTGAATAAAACCTTTGCTAAACAGAGATAAATAATAGCCCTGATATTATCTGAGTCTTGTCTGGAATATTTATTCAACAAATAATTTGTCATCTTATTTGTGTATAGCTTAATTTGCTCAACATTATTTGTGAGTTTCACCCATGTGGTGTGTTAACAGTAGTTGGTCATTTTCATTGCTGTATTATAGTACTCGTTGTAATATGAATATACTGTAATTTACTTGTCCATTGATTTATTACCATTTACTTGTCAAATTTATTGTTGGTGTTTATTTGGATTGTTTCCACTTTGGTCTCTTATCAGTAATGTGCTGGTGAATATTCTTGTGTATGTCTTGATATATATATGGGTGCATTCCTGCTTTTTGTTTAAAAAATTTCAAGCCAAAAGAAAAGATGAAAGAGTATAATGAATACCCATATATCCTTTAACCTGTTCTTAACATTTTGTTGTACATTTCCTTTCCTTTTCTTTTTCTGTCTTTATTTTCTAAAAGTGGTTCATTTTGTCTGTAAGTATTTCAGCATCCTAAGAGCCTCATGAATTACCACAGTATCATTATCACACCCCAAAATTTAACTTTATGAAAATAATAGCAGTAGCCTGTGTGACAAGGAAGAATTGGGGGAAACTAGCCTGTTCCAGTTATTAACAGTGAAACAACTTGGGGTTGATGAATATTTAGTAGGTTGAATCTTCTCCTTTTTTCATTTGTTGAAGTACTTGTTAACCAAATCAATAGTACAAATAGAATTATAAACGGGGGGTTACCTGGTGGATGCATATTGAGATGGGAAGCCAAAGGAGTATAAGGATGATGGATTTAGCTAAATGAAAGTTAATTTACTTGGACTCATTCTACAGTCATATTTGTAAAGGAAGATAGAATTTGGGGGGATTTTTTTTCCTGGTTATTGTTCCATTGACTTTATTTCACATATGAGAAAATAGATTTAGAGTCATTAGGTTACTTGCCAAGTTGATGGCAGAGCCAGGACCATGTACGTTTGTGTTGTATATGCAAGATCTGTTAGGACCTCTTATTTTCAACACTTTACTGTTTTATCAAGGATTATTTATTAAGTATTACTTTAGCCCTACTTAAATTTGATGTGTTAATGCCTTTTAAAACACTATTATTTGTGGATGTCACTCGATTCACCCAGAAGTTTTTGTTTGTACATTTATTGGTTTATTCATGTATACCATTTTAAAAACCAAATAGTTCTGTTGAGTGTTATAACAAAAACTAGCAGGTCTTACCCTGTTACTTCTTAGAAGTAACCACACTCAACACATTTAGTTTTTCTCTAATATTTGTTACCGTAAGTCTAAGAAACATGCTTATATTATTTCTGGTTTTGTCTGCTTTGGTTATTCTTTTTGTTGTTGTTCATATTATGTATTGACATTGGAGGATGAGAATTTAGATCTCTTATACCTCTCTTCCTACATACTTCCTATCATCCTGTCAATAAACAAAGAAGTTATATAGTAATATTTTGTTAGTTCAATACTTTTTCCCCTAGCGAGAAATCCTTCAATTATATGCCTGTAGTTTGTAGAGCTGAATGAGAGAAAGGGGCTGAAGAGGTCTCAACTCTTGATATGTAGGCTTTTGCTTACTATGTAGATTTTCCATGTACAATAGAAAGTAATCAACTGTACCTGATGTCCCTGAATCTAGAATATTACTGGCTCATTTACTTCAGAGAGCAAATCTCTAGTTCTTACAGAGATTGGCAATAGGAAGAGGAAAGTGAGAGGGGGGGATCTCTTGGTCACAGAAGGGGCTGTTATACAAACTGGCTTTGATTACTGCCTTTACTGTTTTTTTAGTGTGTCTTAGGCAAACATCTCTGTCCAGCCTGCCTCATTTAGCTTTGATATCTCTTAGATTGATTTTCAGTGTCTGACCTGAAGGAGAATTTAATCTTTACCAAGATTTTTTGAGTAAAATCAGATGTTAAAATGGAACTAATCATCTTGAGTGCAAACAGACATGATAATTTGCCAATTTTCATAGTGTGTGAAAATTCAAACATTGTAGTATATGATAGACATGTATAGCTGTTAGGTTTGTATCATATTTGTCATATATAAGTCTGTTACTAATAATGACATTTACTTCTCTTGAACAATTTCCTCAACAATTATCCAGTGATGAATTTCTAAGTGTTTATTTTGAAGACTTACTAGTTCTGTTATTCTAATAAAGCTATTGTACCTTTCTGTGCTTCAGATTTTTCATTTGTTAAGAGAGAATAATACCGGCCTTGCATAGGATGCTTAGAATCAAATGAGAATATTTGTGAAGTGCCTATTTATTGTATCTGACTCATATGCATTCAGAAAAGTTGATTCTTCTTCTATTGCTTGTGATCCAATTGATCTATTCTCTAGGTCCAGAAATACTTTCTTAGAAGAATATTACTAAAATTCTACAAAATAGCAATCTGTTAATTGTTTTATATGTATATATGATATTTTCATGTACTGTTTTAAAACCCAGTACAGTAAATTAAATAAGAGTATAGTTATTCATATACTTTATTTAATAACAAGTATTGAGTGCCTAGTATACATTATGGAAAATTTTTCAGAAAATAGCTATAAGCCATTACATTTTTGAGAAATATATTGGATTCTATTTAGAAAGATTCTGTAGCTTAGTCTCTCTACTCTGGAAGGTATATATAGACTTTTTTTGTTTGTTTATTATAATATACTAGAGGCCTGTTGCACAAAATTCGTGCAAGAGTAGGCCTTCCTTTCCCCGGCTGCCGGCACCGGCTTCCCTCTGGCACCCAGGACCCGGACTTGGAGCTTCCTCGCAGCACCAGCTTCATCTGGAAGGTCATCTGGTCTAATAGCATGTTATGCTTTTATTATTATAGATACAATATATGTTACATGGTGCAGTGCAGAAATCTTCAGCGTGCAATTCAGTGAATGTTTATACATGTATACATCTGTGGAACCACCACCATATTAAGGCATTGAATACTTCACTCACTAAAGAATATTTCTTCATGTTCCTCTGTTTCTTCCTCCATTTTTTCTCCTTTATTAGTCCCCCTTGGTTAATCTTTTTTTTTCTTTATTGATTAAGGTATTACATATGTGTCCTTATCCTCCCATTTTACGCCCCCTCCACCCCTACTCATGCCCTCACCCCCCTGTTGTCTGTGTCCATTGGTTAGGCCTATATACTTGCATATAAGTCCTTTGGTTGATCTCACCCCCTTACCCTCACCCTTCCCCACCTTCCCTCTGAGGTTTGATGTTCTAATCGATGTTTCTCTGTCTCTGGATCTGTTTTTGTTCATCAGTTTATGTTGTTCATTATATTCCACAAATGAGTGAGATCATGTGATATTTATCTTTCTCTGACTGGCTTATTTCGTTTAACATGATGCTCTCCAGTTCCGTCCATACTGTTGCAAATGGTAAGAATTCCTTCTTTTTTACCACAGCATAGTATTCCATTGTGTAGATGTACCACAGTTTTTTAATCCACTCATTTGCTAATGGGCACTTAGGCTGTTTCCAAATCTTAGCTATGGTAAATTGTGTTGCTATGAACATAGGGGTGCATATATCCTTTCTGATTAGTATTTCTAGTTTCTTGGGATATATTCCTAGAAGTGGGATCACTGGGTCAAATGGGTGTTCTATTTTTAGTTTTTTGAAGAAACTGAATACTGTATTATACTTTTAGTGATTACTTTAGAAATGACAAAATGTGTCCTGACTTACAAAAGTCTACCTTTATTTAGTACTTCTACCACGTTCCTCCCCAATTGCAAAAGCCTTAAAGCAGTTTAAATCCATTTACTTGCCTTCTACTTTTTTTCTATTCTTAAGTATTTTTCCCATACCCCTCATATGTTATAAACCCTACAAGACATTATTATTGCTTCAAACAGTTAATAGTCTATTATATTTACCTTTATATATATACTTTCTGTAGCTATTCATTTCTTACATCCCATGCTTTCATCTAGAATAATTTTCCTTCATTCTAAAGAAATTGTTTTATTATTCTTTGAAATAAGATCTGTTAACAACAGATTCAGTTTTTTGTTTGTCTGAAAATGTCTTTAATTACTTTTCATGTTTTGGTGGGTATTTTTGCTGAGTATAGAATCTATGTTGATATTTTTTTCTTTAGTAGTTTAACGGTACCATTTTATTGACTTTCATAGTTTCTCTTGAGAAGTCATCTTTCATTCTTATTGTTCTCCTGAAGGACAAGAGATGTGTCCTTTCTTCCTTTGTCTGTTTTTAATATTTTTCTCTTTCTCTTTGATTTTTATTTATTTTTTATTTTTTTAAAAAATATATTTTATTGATTTTTTACAGAGAGAAAGGGAGAGGAATAGAGAGTTAGAAACATCGATGAGAGAGAAAAATCAATCAGCTGCCTCCTGCACACTCCCTATTGGGGATGTGCCCGCAACCAAGGTATATGCCCTTGACCGGAATCGAACCTGGGACCATTCAGTCAGCAGGCCGATGCTCTATCCCAGTGATGGCGAACCTATGACACGCGTGTCAGAGGTGACATGCGAACTAATTTTTTTGGTTGATTTTTCTTTGTTAAATGGCATTTAAATATATAAAATAAATATAAAAAATGTAAGTCTTTGTTTTACTATGGTTGCAAATATCAAAAAATTTCTATATGTGACATGGCACCAGAGTTAAGTTAGGGTTTTTCAAAATGCTGAGACGCCGAGCTCAAAAGGTTCGCCATCACTGCTCTATCCTGAGCCAAACCGGTTAGGGCTATCTTTGATTTTTAGTCACGTGCCTGTAATATACTTAAAATGTGGTGTGTGTGTGTGTGTGTGTGTGTGTGCGCGCATGTGTGCACATCATGCTCCATATTCATTGAGCTTGAATCTCTTGGTTAATATTTTATAAAATGTTTAAGCTTATTATCCTTTAATGATTCAAATATTGCTTTTAACCCATTTTCTCTACTTCTGGACTATAATTTAATATATGCTAGACTGTTTCACTGTACCTCATCATATCTAATGTATATTCTATTTTTTGTTTTTAATTTCTCTTTGTTTTTAACAGCTATTAATGTTGTCTTTGAGGTAATTCTGGGTTTTTTTCTTATTCTGCTGTTAAACCAATTCCATATTATATTTTTGTTCTAGTTCTAGAAATGTCTTTATGATCACTTTTATAGATTCTAACTCCTTTGAAATATTCCATATTTTAATCCATTTTCTCTATTCTTCTATTGTCTTTAATATCTTAATCATAGTTATTTTGAAGTCCTTATATACTAAAACCAATATGTAGATTACTCTTTTGACTGCTTTGTCTCTTGATTTCAGTCACTTTTTCAATTTCACATATCTACTAACTTAGCAGTGTGTGATGGATATTGTGTGGGTAATGTAGAGTAGCACTTGTCATTTGTTGATTTGTTGATGATAGTCATTCTGACAGGTGTGAGGTGGTACCTCATTGTTGTTTTGATTTGCATCTCTCGGATGATTAGTTACTTGGAGCATGTTTTCATATGTCTCTCAGCCTTCTATATGTCCTCTTTTAAAAATTATCTATTTAGGTCATTTGCCCATTCTTTGTTTGACAACAGGATTGTTTATCTTCTTTTTGATAAGTTGTATGAGTTCCCTGTAGATTTTGGAGATTAAACCCTTATCAGAGATAACATTGGCAAATATGTTCTCCCATGCAGTGGGCTTTCTTGTTGTTTTGTGGATGGTTTCTTTTGCTGTGCAGAAGCTTTTTATATTGATGTCCCATTTGTTTATTTTCTCTTTAGTTTCCATTGCCCTAGGAGCTGTATCGGTGAAGATATTGCTTCAGCATATGTCTGAGATTTTGCTGCCTGTGGATTCCTCTAATATTTTTATGGTTTCCTTTCTTACGTTTAAGTCCTTTATCCATTTTGAGTTTATTTTTGTGTATGGTGTAAGTTGGTGTTCTAGTTTCATTTTTTTTGCATCTGTCCAATTTTCCCAACCCCATTTATTGAAGAGACTGTCTTGACTCCATTGTATGTTCTTGCCTCCTTTGTCAAATATTAATTGCGCCTAATGGCTTGGGTCGATTTCTGAGTTGTCTGTTCTGATTCATTGATCTATATGTCTGTTCTTGTGCCAGTACCAGGCAGTTTTGAGAACACTGGTTTTGTAGCATAGCTTGATATCTGTTATTGTGATCCCTCCAACTTTGTTCTTCTTTCTCAGGATCGCTGCAGCTATTTGGGGTCTTTTTTTATTCCAGATGAATTTTTGGAGAGTTTGTTCTAGGTCTTTGAAGTATGCTGTTGGTATTTTAATAGGGATTGCATTGAATCTATAGATCGCTTTAGGTAGTATGGACATTTTAATGGTGTTGATTCTACCAATCCATGAACACGGTATATTCTTCCATTTGTTTATGTCTTCCTCTATCTCTTTTTTCAGCGTCCTGTAATTTTCTGAGTACAGGTCCTTTACCTCCTTGGTTAAATTTATTCCTAGGTATCTTAATATTTCTGTTGCAATGGTAAATGGGATTTTTTTTTTTTTAGTTTCTGTTTCTGTGAGTTCATTATTGGTGTATAAAAAAGCCATAGATTTCTGGGTGTTAATTTTGTATCCTGCTACATTGTCAAATTCATTTATTAAGTCTAGTTTTTTGATGGAGTCTTTAGGGTTTTCTATGTACAATATCATGTCATCTGCAAATAATGACAGTTTTACTTTTTCTTTTTCAATTTGGATGCCTTTTATTTCTTCTTCTTATCTGATCACTATGGCTAGCACTTCCAGTACTATGTCAAACAGAAGTGGTGAAAGTGGGCATCCCTGTCTTGTTCCTGTTCTTAGGGGAAATGGTTTCAGTTCTTGCCTATTGAGTATGATGCTGGCTCTAGGTTTGTCATATAAGACATTTATTATGTTGAGGTATGATCCCTCTAGTCCTACTTTGCTGAGAGTTTTTATCAGGAAAGGGTGTTGGATTTTGTCAAATGCCTCTTCTGCATCAATTGATAGGATTATGTGATTTTTGTCTCTCAATTTGTTTATGTGATGTATCACGTTTATTGATTTGTGGATATTGTATCAGCCTTGCATCCCTGGAATAAATCCCACTTGGTCATGGTATGTGATCTTTCTAATGTAATGCTGGATCCGATTTGCTAGGATTTTGTTGAGGATTTTAGCATCTATGTTCATCAGAAATATTGACCTGTAGTTCTCCTTCTTTGTAGTGTCTTTATCTGGTTTTGGGATTAGGGTAATGCTGGTTTCATAGAAAGAGCTTGGAAGTGTGCCTTCCTCTTGAATTTTTTGGACTAGTCTGAGAAGGATAAGTTTTAGTTCATCTTCGGTTTGGTAAAACTCCCCTGTGAAGCCATCTGGCTCCGGGCTTTTGTTTGCTGGGAGTTTTTTTTGATAACTGCTTCAATTTCCTCCTTAGTTATAGGCCTGTTGAGATTTTTTTATTCTTCTTGATTGGGTTTTGGAAGGTCGTATTTTTCTAGGAATATGTCCATTTTCTCTAGGTTGTTTAGTTCGTTGGAATAGTGTTGTTCATATTATTTGTATTTGGCTTGCCAACAAGAGTAAGAATCTCAGTTTTGCCTTCTGTTGTGACTCCTTAAAGTTCTAGTGATAAGCCTAAATACGTTTTGTTAGAGATAGTCTCATTATCTTTAGAGAAACTGTTTGCAGTAAGGTAGTTTCTTTGCAGATGTACTGTCCCTTGTGCTTTAGAGACTCCTTCCCTAACTGGTCTTCTTGTGAAGTAAAAAACTATAGGACTAGTAAAGCCTACAAAGAAATTAAAAACCATCTAAACTTTAAAATTTATTCTGTAGGCCATTTTATCATCCACTTATTCAATAAATCAAATATTTATTTATTTACTTATTTATTTTTTAAATATATCTTTATTGATTTCAGAGAGAGAGGGAGAGGGAGATAGAAACATCAGTGATAAGAAAGAATCATTGCTCGACTGCCACCTGCACACCCCACACTGGGGATTGAGCCCGCAACCCAAGCATATACCTGACTGGGAATCGAACCTTGAACTCCTGGTTTGTAGGTCGGCACTCAACCATGAACCATGCCGGCCAGACTGGCATTAATTATTTTAGTCACACAAATTTTAAATAGTATTTAATCAAATATGTTATTTTCCAGTCAATTTAAATGTAAGAAAAAACAATAAGGCAATTGACTAATGTGGCAACAATATAAAATTACAAAAATATCATACTGTCCTGAAAGCAGACGCATTTTTAATGAAAGGTTTTCCTTATAGCTTCATATTTATTATATAGTCTTTGAATTAGTTTGCCTAAAGTTAGACAGTTTTTTAAGTACTCTGTAACCTGTGAAGTCTCTATTCTCAATAGTCATTGGATGGGAACAGCTGCCAATTTAATAAGAGAAAAGTCCAACAGGTTAAAAATCTGAAAGTGTTTATAGGCTATCGGTATTGATTTCCTTTTATTTTTCTTCTAGAAACATGATCAAGGACAAGTTCTGTTGGATATAGTCTTCAAACATCTTGATTTGACTGAGCGTGACTATTTTGGTTTACAGTTGGCTGATGATTCCACAGATAACCCAGTAAGTTTAAGCTGTTTTCTCTCATTTTAATTTTAATTTTTCTCTGTCATAATAAGTTTTTTTCTGATTTATAATGTTCACTGTTTTAGTGAGTTTTTAAAAAATTTAGTTTGACTGTGGTGATGTGATAGAAGGAGACTTGACTTTGGCTGGTTAACAGAATGCAGTATACAGATGATGTATTACAGAATGGTACACTTGAAACCTGTATAATTTTATTAACCAATGTCAGCCCAATACATTTAATAAAAATTTTTTAACTCAGAAGCAAGAAAGACAAAAAAATATTAATTTGAATAATTAGAGGTAATTCTTTGCCTTTGTTCCTCATTTTCTTGATGAATTAGTCTGTAGTTATTTCTGTAAAGTTTTTTCAAATTACAAGTCAGTCTGTATATCTAGTGCCAGTTTATTTATGTGTCTCAGACAACTAAGAAGTAAATCTAATTCATGCTTCTTGACTTAAAGAGAGAAAATTGGTCTAAAGATTAAAATATTAATTTAATACTAAAATATTAAAGTAAAATATTTTAAAATATTAATGTATCATTAGCCTGCATTAAGATGAAATTAGTTTTTTGTGGCATTTGTGGTGAGCTGTTTGTGTAAATTTTCCAAGTAGGAAGACTCAATGGAGGCCCTCACAAATGAGGTAGAGATTAAATGTCAGAGCTCTATAGTTCTTGGGCAGTATTGTTTATTAGATTGTTACTAATTCCTCAGTAATTGCAATCATGATTCTTTGTATTGGAAAGATCACATCATAGAAATAGAAAATAGCACGAGTTGAATAACAGAAATTATGAATTTTTTGTAAATGTATTTTGTTATTCAGTGAGGTCTTTTACAAAAGAATATGATATCCTTTTGACTAGTACAAAAGAGTGACTATTTTGAAGGACATCTTTTGTATAGTTTAAAAAAAACTGGGAAGCTGGATCACTGCTTCAGAAATTAGTTTTATAAGGCCATATTGAAGGATGGCTATAGATAAAATAACTTCTTTGCCTTCGCCCTTGCCCTCATCCTCATAGCCAGGATCTTAGCTCTCTGAATAAATGGTTAGTAGGAAGTAAATATGAAATGTTAAGTATTACTTATTTTTGGCATAATTTACTGATTTTTTAATTGAAAGCTTTGAGGATGATATAGATAAAACAAAGCAAGTGGCCTGTTAGTATCTGTGGAAATTTGTATACAAGAAGACATTTCTATTCTAAAACAATTACAGCAGGGTGAATGTGGGAAAGCAGAGGTATTTTGAGCTGGGATGATCTTTTGCTCTCACCTGCTTTTTCTTACTTAGTCATATTTTTCTATCTTGAGCATTCCTTCCCAAATAAGATATATTCCCAGGCCCAAGGATCTAATTGCTAATGATCCAAGATACTAATTCTTTCCCCCAAATTATAGAATTTAAAGACCCAAACCCTGAGAGATGATCTTGTCTAACACCCTTATTTTTCATGGGAAATTATCCCAATCCAAGGAGATTAAAGTCCAAGCTACTGGATGGCATTGATGAAACTAGACTTGGGTCTCCTTCTCTCCACGCAAATTTTTCCACAGCACTACAATTTCAGTATTTAAATATTCAGAAGAATCTGTGAAATGCCAAAATGTGTCCAAGAAGAACCTTTAGAGCACAAATGTTGTGTCTCATCTCTGGTTGTCAATATGAAATATATCAAGACTTTGAATATGTATAATAGATTGAGGGAAAGTTTTGGAAGTCATTTTTAAAAAGAGAAAGGAGTAAGAGACTAACTTTTATGAAATATCTATTGTGGACTGGTTAATAAACCAAATTATCACAATAATCGTATGAAAGTATCATTAAAATTCTTTTGGTTTGTTTTTTTGTTAATCCTCACCTGAGGATATTTTTCCATTGATTTTTTAGAGAGAGTGTAAGGGAGAGGGACAGACAGAGAGAGAAACATCCATGTGAGAGAGACACATCGATTGGTTGCCTCTCTCACGTGCCTCACCCGACCAGGGCTGGGGATCGATCCTGCAACTGAAGTATGTACTAGAATCGAACCAGGGACCCTTGTGCAAAATGTTGCTTCCCAGGAAATGATGATGTAGATGTACAGGTCTTAGAAATGAACATATTGAGGAAAGGAGATAACCATGCAATAAAATTACCAGCAGTGATCAGAAGGAATTTGATATTTAAGACTAGAAGAAGAAAAATAGGCTATTAAGACTTAGTTTCAGTTTTAGGGCCTGGTTTCACTCAAAAGATGATGATTGGATGAAGATGAAGGAAAGTGAGTAAATGCTGGAGATGTTTAAGGTAGAGTAGGTTCATGAGGGAAAAAGAAAAATCAGCGTTAATATCTCAGATTCTGTCTTTGGCAACTAGATAGAAGAACCATAAAAATAGTATTATTGGAATATAGAAATAACTATCATTTGTGTTATATATTGATTTTGTGTTATGCAGCCTTCATAAACTCACAGTTTAATGATAGTCATTTTTTTGGTAAATTCCATAGGATTTTCTACATACATTTCTACATACATCATGTAAACTAAGGAAAATTAAATTTATTTAATTTCAATTAAATTTATTTAATTTCAATCAACTTTGTATTACTGAAATAAATCCAGGAAACAAATGAGATTCTATATTAATCTTATATCCTAAGACTTTGCTAAATTCTCTTATTCTAGTGTTTCTTTTACTGATCCCTTAGGATTATCAATGCAAATTTTGTTATATGAGAGTAGGGATAGTTTCACTTTTTCCTTTGCAGTCTATATATTTCTCATTATTTTTTCATTCCTTATTACATGGCTAAGACTACCATGACAATGATGAATAAAAGTGATGGGAGAAGACTATCTAACCTTCTCCCCTGTCTTAGGAGGAAACTATTCAGTGTTTCTTTTTATTTATTTTTTTAATATACATTTTTATTGATTTCAGAGAGGAAGGGAGAGGGAGAGAGAGAGATAGAAACATTAATGATGAGAGAGAATCATTGATTGGCTGCCTCCTGTATGCTCCCTACTGGGGATCAAGCCCGCAACCCAGGCATGTGCCCATGACTGTAATCAAACTAGGGACCCTTTAGTGCGCAGGCCAATGCTCTATCCACTGAGCCAAACTGGGGAGGCTTCAGTTTCTTTAAGTCTGCTGTTAACTATAGAGTTTTTTAAAAATCAGTATAATTAAGGCATAATTTACATAGAATAAAATTAAATACTTATTTATAATGAAAACTCTCAACAAACTTGGAAAAGAAAGAGACATCCTCACTCTGATAAACTACATGACTCTACACTTTCTGATGCCTCAGGGAAATGTCAAATAAAAGAACAACAAAATGTTAGCATGCATCCACTAGAATAGTTCAAATTAATCTTACGATAACAGGTGTTGTCAAGGATTGCTGGTAGAATTTTAAAAGGGTACAACCACTTTGGAAAGTAGTTTGGCAGTCTCCTATAAAATTAAACATAGCCCTGGCCGGTGTACTCAGTGTTAGAGCATCAGCCCATGCACCGAAGGGTCGTGGGTTTGATTCCCGGTTAAGGGCATGTACCTGGGTTGTGGGTTCGCTCCCCTCCCCTGATTGGGACTTGTGCAGGAGGCAACCAGTTGATGTGTGTCTCTCACATAGATGTTTCTCTTTCTCTCTCTCTCCCCTCTCCCCCCTTCCCTTCTACTCTCTCTGGAAAACAATGGGGAAAATTATCCTCAGATAAGGATTAACAACAGCAACAAAATAATTAAACATAGATTTACTATATACCACCCAGCAAACCCAATTTTAGGGAGTTATTTAAGAGAAATGAAAACATGTTATAAGAAATCTTTTTTTTTAATACTGGGTTTTTTAAATTGATTTTTAGAGATACAGGAACGGGGAGAGGGAGAGCGAGAGAAGCATTCATTGGTTGCCTGCAGCATGCCCCCTACCAGGGATTCAGCCCCAACCCAAGCATGTGCCCAGACTGGAAATTGAACCAGCAATCCTTCAGTGCTCGGGGATGATGCCCAACCAACTAAGCCACATCAACCAGGGCATAAGAAATCTTATACACAGATTATCATAGCAGTATAATTTCTAGTAGGCCAAACCTTCGTTAACCTTAACATCTATCAGTAAACAAATGACTGAGGCCTAGAACCAAGATGGCAGCATAGGTACGTGCCTGAACTCGCTACCTTTCAAAACCACATCAACTAAAATACAGAACACCCATCATCCAGAACTGCCTGAAAGCTGGCTGAATGGCAGTCCTACAACTAGAGAAGTAAAGAGGAAAGCACATTGAGACTGATAGGAGGGGCAGAGAGGCGGAACGGGCTGGACTGTCATCCATGCATGCTGCTTTTTTAATCAGTAGGAGGTAGGCTCTGCAGAGGCAGACTGTGAGGAGCAAGGTGTCCCAGATCCACACCAGACTGCCCAGCCCAGAGTTCCAGAGATAGGAAGAGCAATCCCCATAACTACGGGCTGTAAAAACCATCAGGGATTGGGGCTCAGTAACACAGAGGCTGCTGGAGACCCAGCTCTTCCTCTTAAAGGGCCGGTGCATAAACTGAACTTACAAAGGACTGCTTCCTTTGCACTCCAGCACCAGGGCAAGGCTCTGGGGGACCCAGACACATATGATGAGAAACTGGATTGTCTGGCATCGGGATAGGAACTGGGGGAGGGGGACCTTTCTCCCAGATGGAGGTGCTCGCAAGGATCATTGTTCTTGTGGTGGGACCTCCCCAGTCGCAGAGCTGACTGGCAGCCATATCTGTTTGCTCTGCCCTGGTGATTCCCTGAGACCCCACCCTATTCATTTTGCAGCTCCACCCAACCCTGTGTTGTGGCTTTTGCATGTGAATGGCACATCCTTGCTCAGGTTTCAGACTTTGCTAGAATCTCTCAAACGAGCTGTAGCTGGGTCAGGGTGCCTAAGCCTATCAATAAAAGGCCTAAGACCTAGCACTAGCACCAGCCTGCCTTGCTTCACAGCCAGGCCTCACT